TATCTGGAGCCCACTGAGTGCAACAGGAAAGACATTCTAAGAGACAATATCCACAGTGACAATATGGAAATAACCCAATCTGCTGCCCTCTTAAGTATAAACTAATTCTTAGAATGTAATCTCTTTGCTCCACATCTTTCTGTCCTCTGTTTTTTTTTTTCTGTCACCATTGCAGTTCATCAAAATTTACAGTGAACAAGAATTAAGGTTATAGGCCTGATCAAATATGGACTTCCTGCTTACGGCAGTGCAAGCGAAACACAAAAAGTATTTTGATTTATAGGATCTAAGGAGTTCTTGTCAATTTTGCCCAAAGCCTTTCTATATGTTGATTTTAAAAACAAGACTCACTATTAGTAGAAAAGTCTTTCTTCCATTTCCCTGCTGTAGGGAGATAGTCCTCCAGAGAAGGATGAAAATGGAGAAACAGCACATCTCACACTCTCTACAGACTTCCTAACAGCCAACTTCTGCTGGCAACTTCTCTCCCTGAACAGGTCAACTCAGAGAAACACTGAGGAGAGATTTAACAAAGCTACATCAGTCAGTGCTTTTCACAACATATGCTGTTGTAGGATCCATCAATGGCTGTACAGGGCCTATGTTACAGGCCACTATTCTATTTGCCTTATGTTGTGAGTGGAAATGTAATCCCACATTACTTTCACAAACTTCTGTGAAAAGCTCTGTTACTACAGACTTTTGAGTAAATAACTGTAAATTCCATTCTAAAATATGAGTTACACTAACTTGTTTGCTTTAACTATAGATAAAAAAATTCCCCATATCAATTGTTGCTCAGGTTATATTTACTGTATGCTGATACCTGACTGATACTGCTTTATAAATAGATCCATTTTTGTGCATTTCATCTAAGATGTAAATTATACCATTGACAATACCAACCTATTGGAAAGTATCCAAATGGGTCTGATTTTTGTACACTACAATAACTGCTTATTGCAGAGGGAAGAAGGTTCAGATATGTTTTCAAAAAGTAGAAGATTTTCTGTAAAGATTTTCTGATGTTCTCTTCTTAAGTTTGCCGTGTTTTATTTACTGTTCATGTACTGTGTGTTTGGAATCAGATGCTGATTGGTGTCTCCTCCTTTCCTTTCTATAGGGTAGAACACTTCCTGGTTTTCATTATCATTGAATTCAAAGGCTATCAGCTATTGTAGCTATTTATACTTATGAGTAGGTAATTGGAATTATCACTGGTTGGTAACAGTTCTTCAAGCAAAAGAAACTTCACTTGATTGATTTTTTTTTTGTTGTAGTAGTAGGACCACATTTTTCCAATGGTTTTTCAAGGACGGTTCAGTTCTTGCAGCTTTAATATGTAAGGAAATAATTTTGCATCCAACAAGAATGACAGTTTGTCTAAACAGAAAATAGATTATTTTTCCAAATCCACAAAAATGTTAAACAAATCATTGCTAGATCATGTGCAAGACCTGTCTTGCACAGTTGCAGCTACTGATGTTTGACTACTGAAGTAAGATATATTTTGATACAGAGAATGGGTGCAGACAGAGGTTACAGGTTTATATCCCTATTTCTCACAGGTCAGGGAAAACAGTTGCTCTGAAAAACTAAAATGTGTTAAGAATTGATGAATGAAGGTCATGAAGAGGATAATTTCAGTTTGAGACTGGTCTTGTTTCATCTATCAGTTTGTTTTCTTACTCTTAAAATAATCTCAGTCTAACATAAAAAAAACACAACAAAACCAAAAACCAAATCAACAACCCAACCCAGGAATAAACCACAAAAAATTGTTTACCAATGAAATTTACAGAACAGTTACCTGAGCAAACCACACTGTTAAGAGAAACATAGCTATGTTTCGTCAACAGCTTCACAAAACTTGGTGGAAATTTATGTTATATCTACTCTTATAATCATGATTGAGATAAGCTGCGACTTACTCTACAGAAAGATTGATCGACTTCACAGGGATGTTACCTGGTTCATGATGTAATTACTCTTGTAACTTCCATCCCTAGGTTAAGGTTATAAATGGTTAAAAGCAACATTTAAAACAGATTAATATTTTTGACCTAAAAATGTTTCCATCTTGATAAACATACTGGGACACCTGGAGAATACCAGCCATTATATACCACATCAGAAGATAATCAAAGTAAAGCTATAAGCTCTAATAATAAATGGGAAAAGATATAAAATAAAACTGATCATTTGACACTGCCATTTCATCTTATGCAGGACCACTGTTGAGACCAAGTTACACCATAGAAAAATGTCTATTCCACGAAAATTAATATTAACTGAGTAACATTTTAAAGCACAGTAGTACCCAACATTAATATGGTTCCTTTGTACCTTAGTCTAAAGAGTACCTATATGTGAGATTTCTTCAAGCTATTCATTGGTAAAATCTAGCCAAAACAGTACTAGGTTACATTTTCCACTTTCCCTGCACAGTGAACCATTTAGACTTAAGACTTAAGAGCACATTGGAAATACAGACTACTTAATGTAAGAACAAAACTTTCTGGTATGATCGCATGTTTATGTTGCATAAGATAATACAATCCATCTGTTGGGAAAATCCTTGCTGAATATTATATCTGCTTTAACAATAAACATGAATAGAAATCAAGATTATTTTTTAAAATCCAAAACTGAGTAACAGTGAGCCTTACAAAGAAATATGTCTAGGAACCTGAGGCAAATTATACATGTTAATGTTGGAGTCACTGAGAACAGTTAACACAATGTAACCAAATGTCAACTGGAATATGTTGCAGTAACTGACTGAATATATGAAGAGGTCTGTGTTTAATGAATATATGAATGCTTGGTTTCTAAGTTTTCAGCTTCAGATGGCGAAGATTAAGTGCTAAGGGTGTTACTGTAAATGTTTAAGTGAGATGAACATCACTGATTTTCTAATTTTACCACATGGTTTATTTCAGAAGAAAACAAGCACCAGTTAACATAGTTCTCCTGCAAGTCAGTAAACAGTAACACACGAAAACTCAATACAATTTGCTTCTTTGTTTATGTGCAGGATATTTAGTTTGGTTTGCAAAGTATTAGAAGAATAATAAGAACCTCCTGATAGAATACCACAACTAAATTTCTCAAAAGCCACTCAGTTAATCTCAGTGTTGAATCTGGCTGTTTCAAATTATTGTAATGTATAATAACAGTCTTATTGACAATATAGATGCACAGAGCCAAAAAAAGCTAGAAATAGTGGCCAAAACGATGAACTAAGCGCCAGCCCAAATGACAACAAACATATGGCCATTAACTGAAGAATGGAGTTTAGGAATGCAGCTGTCTGTGGTCTCCTAAAAGTTCCAGAGGAATGAAATGCTGTGAGGATTGGCAAAGCCTGGATGAGAAGTACTACTGAAGATGGTAGGTCCTAAAATGGAGTCAACCAGCGGATCATGTTGGAATTCAGAGATTTCTGTGGTCAGAATATATTCATTCCATTGGCCTCATAATGTACATCAACAAATTAATATTGTATGGATGTCATTTCAAAGCCTACTGAAGACGAAGAGCCATTACTGAAGCCATTAGAGCACAGATGGTTCAAACTATATGCAGATATTCATACTTGCATTTCTGCATTATAGCAGGGGTTTTTTTTCTGTTGAACTGTAATGAATTGTCTCATAATCTATTCCATCTTCTTGCCATTAGCAGGCTTTGAATGTTCACAAATAGGAGCAAAGAACTCATTTTCCAGAGCTTTAATCACACAAAGAGGGAATGCCTAATTCTCTAAATGAAATGGTCTGTGATCACTGAAGCAGAGATTTAATATATCACGGCAAATTAGGTAGATTTTAATAAATTACTTATCTCTCTGAATACTTTACATATGCTTATGAAGAAACATAGCCTGTTTGCAAACAGTGGAAATCCACAGTCTATAAAATCCTTTGAAGAAAATGACAAATAAAAAAGTAAATTAAAAAATGAAATGTATTATATCCTCGTTCTCGAGAGACAATCCTTTTTGCAGCATTGATTCACAGCTCCATTAAAAATATCAATTAAATCCTTCACTGAGATTGGTTAAAAGCTGTAAAATTAACTTTCCATGCTAGACACTGGTTATTCAGATACAACGATTTATTGTATATGTTTGATGTAAGTTCTAAAAGTGACAAAACCCAAATGAAAACACAGTTGCCCGTCCCTACAGCCCAATGTAGGTGAAGCAAAATCTCACACTTTGGCTTCTTTTTGTGCCTTGACAGATGTTGGCTGAAAGTAAATCTTTTACTGTACAGAAAATGATTGTGCCTGCCCTCCCCCTACTTCAAATTATGGTAACCATAAACAGCTGATTATAATGTTAGTAGAAGGGTAAAAGTTATTTAAAAAAGGTTGCAGTAATTTAATAAGTCCTGCAACTAGCCTAATTTTTTATATTTAATTGATAGGAACTGCATGCATCAAAGAAAACACATACTGAGATTTAATGTGCATAAAATGGATATTAGCATTTTAAAGAGGCAGATTAACACATTAATCCAAGTAATTTTCATATATTGCTTTTAATAAAATCTTCACAGTATAAAATTCTTAATGAGGCTAATCACAGGCATTCCATTTAGCGGGGTGATTAGGGATAACATAAAAGTATTTTTAATCAGTTTTCTAAGGCTTATGGTTTTTTTATTAAAAATTAAAATTTTGACTTGCATTTTTATTACTGTTTTATGCAGGAAAAAATCTTGAAAATGCAAATAAAGCACATCATTCAATCATGTAGGTATTAATTATTTACAAGACGCTGTCCATTGTGGAGAGATTCTTAGCCTTAGGGGGGAAATATAAAAACAAACAGACTGAAAAGTATACAAAACTTTACAACTACAAATCAAGCGTCCCTTCCATATGAATTATACATTAAATATACTGTAAGAATTACAAAGATCTCATCTTTGATGCGCTATCAAGCATGTATTTACACTGGGAGAAGGAACTTCTGTAGGCAAACTTCCCTTTCATGCCTCGGAGTCGTCTTCGTGCTCCTCACAGACCGAACGCGGCGCGTGGAGGGGCCTCCACGGCTACTTTGAGCTCCCCAATTACTGCACCATCATCTCGTGAGTCAAAAACTAGAAAGGGAGCATCACAAAAGAGCATTAGCAATTTCATTTAAGGGTTTGCTTTTGTTCCGGTAATTTTCCGGAGTGTTTGGACAGATTAAAAGGCACCCGGCACACGCAGAGGAGAAATAAAAAAATAATAAAGGGATCTTCCAGTTCAGGTATTTAGCCTACTGCAAACTGAGCACTCTAAGAACTAGAATGTACATCAATGAAAGTGTTAGTGCTCGAATTACCTTTGAAATAAAGAAAACTATTGGTATAATAATTGCCTATATAAATTAATAATTTTTCTCAATATGTAAATATGAGATGTGGCAATATGTAAATTCAAACTCTATTGAAAACATATATACATATTTGTAAATAGTTTTAAGCAAAAACATACCTATTAATGCATTTTCTACACTGTGTAGGACAGGTTCAAATCAGCCTGGACACTTACTAGTATTTAAACAGTAATTGTTTTTTCCAGCTGGTGCAATGCAAAATTATATAAATTGCAAGCTTCTATGTGTTGCAAAATAGTGAGGTATAAAAAAGAAGATAATTCCTCTAGACTAAACTATTTGACTACCTTCATCTTTGTGTCTGTGGGTTTTAAAGTAGTATTTTAAATTTCTATTTTACAGAAATTAGCTGACATGATTTGAAACTGCACTCTTTTACAATATCTAAGTAAGCCCAGAGGGCCAGAATCTCTGCTGCTGTGATTAAAACATGCTGCTAAGTCAAAAATGAGGCTTTTTCCCAGTCCTGCATAAAAAGCAGTGAGGCTGCCTAACATGACTCTAGAAGGAATTTGAATAAAAACAAATAATCTTGACAGCATATTTTTTCAAAGCAAATTATACAGCTGACAAATGGCAAGGTTATGTATTTAGTATATAAACTGGGTTAAGTACTCTGGGACACGCAATGATACTGCATGTTACAACTTCTCGGCTGCTGGGACAGCTCAGAAGAGGTTTAGAGAAGAGAAAACATGGGATAAACCTTCCATTATTTACTCTGTTGAAAGAGCTATTATAGGACAGATTGGATGCTAATCTTAGAGATCCAAACCATTTTGTATAACCTTGAACAAATCGCTCAGTGAACTGTCAACTTCAGGAGCAGACTTTAGGGGACAGTATTGTTTTTACTTATAAGAACAGGATAACTGTAATTACTGATATCAGAACATTAATTCTATTTTCTCGGTTTTCATATTGCCATACTATCTCTGAGGCACACTGGTAGATATGTTGACTGTAGTGTTTTTCACCCATCCTCTTGCTAAGTCATTCACTTGATTGTTTCAAATTTCATGGAGGCCACTTTCACACAATCAGCAATGAAAGGAACAAGATATGAAAAAGACTGTGCTTGGAGTCTCAAAAAGAATGAAGGGTGTTTTTGTACCTTAGAATGACCATATCTTCATGTGGTAGTGTCCTACGAGTTTCCCTGTGCCTAGGGAAATTCTTTTTCCCTCAAACCAATATCCACCTCAGAGGATGTGTACAATATTACTTAGGAATTCTATTTATTGTGCCATTACATTTAAATGAAGTTTGCATCCAGATCTTACAAACAGATCCTTTTACAATGACTTGGTCCAAGAAAATATACGGACATGTTCTTTTGTCATGATCTGACATATGTTAATGTAAAATTCATTTCAGTTCTCTGAAAGTTCTAAATTTTCAGAAAATATGCAATGTTATATGTCCTGGATGCAATAGAATCTTCCCTGGCACCTGCAGAGAAGGGAAAAAGTGTGGATAGGAAAAAGAATAAAAGTATTTCTAGCTATTATTATTACTTTCATGGATATAATTCACACAAAGTAAAAACTAGTTCAAATGATCAGGGGAAGAAATGTTCCTTATAATATTGAAGTAGTTGTCATCACATACTAATGATTGGCTTTTAACAGAACAATAACTAGTAACAAAAACCAGTCTTTCCTGTAATAATAATTCTCTCAGATGATGATAAGGACTTTTAAGAGTTTTGTGAAAGGTGACTTTCAAGGGTAAAAAATTGTATTTATATCACTAATCAATCTTATTAAATAAGAATTATGACAATGGGAATTATGGCCATAAAGTACAGAACAAAAACAATCTTCCAGTAAGAGACTACAAAATAGAGGAGGAGGAGATGTGCTTTTGTACTTGGAGAAAAAGTACTGGTGGAGAAAAGCTTAAGAGGTTCAGCCACAGTAAGAAGTGCATCAAATCTGTATACTATTTTTCCAGGGTATGGAAATTCGATTCTTTGCATTTTCCTTATCGTGTTCCTGGAACTTTGATGCATATTTTTAGTATTTTAGCTACAGCATGGATGCAAATCATGCATGATAATGGGAATGGATAAGAAAGCCTGTTTCTTTCCCTCACTACTCAGCTCCCCATTGCTGAAGGTACAGGAATTAGACACAGCAGTAGAAGTGTAAAAGTAAAAGTAAAAGTGACATTAGCCTGGCATTCCACTAGGGCTGACTGGAATTCTGGCTATTGCAAAGGGTACCTTGTGTGCTCTGCATCCAGTCATCAGGCTGGTTCCTGGACTGGCAGAGGACAGGGACTGTTTGTAACAGATTTACTCTCTTCACTGAGCTTTACCACAGTGGGGAAAGAGGTGGACAAAGAGGTGGGAGAAAAACGCACACTGGTAACCACGTCCCTGCAACCACGAGGAACAAGAAACCCTAAGCAAGGACAATATTTTCCTCCACTGTCTATGAAAGGACCAAGTAGCCTTCTCGAGTCTTCTTACCAGTGTCATAACAATGATCCTACGGCCCAGGAAATGGAAGATTCCACACCTCCTGCTCACCTCACCTTGCTTTAATGAGTCACAGTGAAGGTTTGGTCACAGTCCCTTTCAGAAGGGTGTTCACACTAAACTGACATCTTACCAAACCCACCAATATTTCACACTGTCTGGGAAACAGGTTTCATATGGAGGACACAAGCTGGAGGTACTCTGGGAGTTACAGCTCTAAATAAGATATAGACTTTAACAATACAGAATCACTGACATAAATTTTAATAAAAATATATATTTGTAGTCCTATTACAATGAAGCATGATGTACAAAATAGCGAATTATAGCATGTGGACATGTCTGGAAAGTTCTCAGGTTTTATGAATGAAGTACTATGAGCTGGGAATGCTCTTCGGCTTTGGTTTTTAAACATATTTTAAGGACTAACAGCAGCACACAGTTTTTGTAGACTTTTGCAAAAAATGTGGAAGCCATTAATTAATATTAAAGAATTTCTTATTGACAAAATGTCAAACAATTACTTTCATAGTAATCCTTGCAGAGAAAAGTAGAAATTCAACAAATTATTTTTAAGCAACAGAAATTTACAATAAACTGATCTGTAAAACTTACCATCAATGTCTTGTTCAATGATATTTCTTTGCTTCTGGAACATCTCTTTCAAACTGACCAGAGCAAACCTGATATCAAGATCCTGTTCATCTTCGGGGGATCAATGACCACATAAATTTTAGGATAAACCAAAAAAACCAAACAAAAAATAAAAATTAAAAAAACCAACAGAAAAAAATATATTTTACCTTCAAAAAGGGTTGAAAATCAACTCTAGAACCAGAAAAAAAGGCAAATCCACATTCTATTTTACAGGTGGAACACAAATAAGAACTCTTTATCAAGTAAATTCAACATTTTCCATGACAAGAATTGTCTAAGACCCCCTTTTTTAAATCTTCCCCTTTTCTTTAGCATTATTTAGCTGTACTAGAAGGACAGAGAGGTTTAACCAGAGATTCGCAGCCGTATAGAAATGTGCCATTTTTCTTTCCCCTCCCCACCACTCTGTGGTACAATTCTTGTTCACATGGCCATACAAGAAACTATATAAAATATACGCTTTTGTTTCGTGAACTTAAATTACACCCATTGCATCCAAGTATGGCTTTCCTTCTAAACACATAATTTCAGTATTGGGTTGGAGCTGACTTGAGTTAGTGGCTTGTGTTGGGGCCAAAAACACCGAGACTGAGAAAATGACAGGAATTCAGAGCTAACATTTGGTATATCTTGGCAATGTTGCTCAAACTGTGAGTGTTTGTGAGCTTTACAGCCTAAAAATGTTACAATAAGCATAATTTCAAATGGGTAACAATCAAGTTGTGTAAAATCCACGTCTAAGGGAGAGGATATGTCAGACAAAATACAATCAAATATTCCTAAAAAGACTTCAAACACAACTACTACAATATGTTTTTATAGTAGTTTATTTTTGTGTTTGTCTCTTACTAAAAATATTTATCATAGAAAATATATATGTAAATATTTGTCACTAAACCCAGTCACCTACTGAAAATAAGAAAATATTAATAAATTTTCTGGAGGCAAAAAAAGGAAAACTATCACAGCTATTTCCAACAGCAGGTGGCTTGACTGAATATAATTCATTTAACTTGAGATTTTGGCACAAAGCTAAGCAGCAGCAAAACAGCCCAAACCCAATCAAAAAAAGAAATACTTAGATCTGCAAGATAAATATTAAATTGAATAAAAACAAGTTAAAAATTGTAAGAATAATTTGATAAAACTGTTGGGTTTTGGGAACAGATCTGTTTTGTTATGATGATTCAGTGTCAACGTTAATCTCTTGGGGAAACCAGCGTAGCAGTTCAGACAGTGACAGAAGAAGAGATTCATGCTGAATTAACTTTTATCACTATTACCAAAATTTTCACTAAAATGTAAATTAAAAGCAGGCCTAGTAAAATTTGAGACAGCATCTTATAGCCAAAGGGGAGTGTCATTCATACAGACCCACCCTGTGGTTCAGATCAAACAAAGGTATTTTACATGAATAGGTCAAGCTTCAACAAAACAGATGAAAGTAACAGCCCCTCTAACACCATATAGTTCCAATATGCTTAAAAGATGATAATATTGGATCGAATCTTTGCTGCTAAGCAGGAAGGAGGATCCATCTGGATCCCACGGGAATACTCCAACTAGACTCCAAGAATGGTACCACAATCACTTTGAGTTTTGTACTTCACTTTGAGTTTTGTACTTTTAAAAAATATCACAAATGCTTTGAGAGAATATTTAAATATGATATTTGGTATGCTTTGTTTTCTTCATTTACCAAAAATTGCAAGAGTTCTATTTTCAGGTAGAACTGCTTAAAAAGACACAGTTCAAACTGCCTGAGAACCTATGGGACATGAACAGACCCCTGACCCTGCTTCAGCAGCCAGTGTCCCACCTCACCTTAACACTGCCTCAGTTCTGAAAGAAACTTTGATGGGAATTGGTATATCAAATTTATACAAGGATTTCTTACATGGATAAAGCTATGGAGAGTGTTCCTCTCCCATACTTCTCTCTGGGATCCTAGACTTTCTCTCTAACTCATTTCCACATTTCATTTCTGTAACACCAGTTACTCACTTCTTGCAAGAATCCAAAACTTCCTGACAGAATAAGAAGAAATTTTGACATCCTGGTAAAAGCACCATGTGGGAAGATATTTGCTAGCCACTGCAAGAAAGACTAGAGAACCAAATGAAACTTGTCTGGCAAAAGAAAAGTGAAAAAATAATAAGTGCCTTAAACTTAAAATGTGTTTTACAGTGAAGAAGAAAAGCCTGGACAATTATTTATTATGGTTGTTAGGATAACACTTAAAGGCATTCTCACCAGCAGGTAATTTAGAGTGACTGGACAAAAGTTCTTATGCAGCCAAATCTGATTCTAATTTTTTTTTATTCCACAGATCAGCCATTTTTGAGCAGGAAGGAGAAAACTTTGTGTGTTAATGTTGCATATTAATGTGAAGCTAACAACTGTACACCTGCTCTACTCCCCTGTAACATGGATGCATAGATTTTCTTGGGAGAACAATGACTTCATATAGTCTGTTTCTTGGAATAACAATCATTCCCCACCAAGAAATGATGCACCTGTCAGGATCAGCCTGGAAACCTCTTGCATAAACCTGTTCACTCTTGTTATCACAGCAGGGTGACTGTTAGACGCACGGATTCCTCCACTCCTCACATATGTCTCTCTTGACACTTGTCAGAAGAGCACACACTTTACCTCCAGGTCTGCAAGTATTTCAAGTACAGTCTGGCATAAGGAATCAGGTAACTTCCTCTACATGACCAAAATTTCCACACTCTTAAAATGCTGAAAGACAACAGTGGAAGAATAAAAAATAACTTGACACAGTTACAGAAAGTTGAATGGACTGCCAGAAATGTGTCCTTTTAACTGATTTAAAGACTTGAACACGTAATGATGGGGTTCAGATGGTGAAATAATAATTTTGTGTCTTTTTTTTTCCCACAAAGTTTTTGCAAATATTAGCAAGTATAGCTTCCTAAAATAGATAAAGAACTTGAATCTCTATTATACAGAAAAAGGCTTCCCGTGCCACATATTACAGCCATAGGAAAAAGCAAGGGTTCTGAAAAAATCTCCCTAAAAATGACAGAGACAATGACTGTCTGAAAGCATAAAGATGCTTGTCAAAAGAACTATGCTCATATATTTTACATAACTCCATTTAACAGCATATTTTCTTGATTTTTTACACTGAATATTCTTGCATTTTCTGCCACTATTTGTTCAAATATGGAACCAAAGTCAGTATTTCTAATAAACACTTAAAATTATTCCATATCAATAACTGAAAGAAGAGAAAAATCAACTTTGTTTTGAAATCTTATCTTGAAATGAACAGTAAACTCCACTCCAAACAAATTTTAGACTGGATATTAAAAAAAATTATTTACTGCAAGAGTTGTCAAGCTCTGGAATGGGCTGCTCAGGGAACTGGCAGAGTCACCAACCCTGGAGGTATTTCAAGTGCCTTGGAGGCACTTGGGGACGTGGGTTAGTGGTGGAACTGGCAGTGCTGGGGTATCAGTTGGACTTGGTGACTCTAAAGTTCTCCAACCTAAATGATTTTAGGATTCTATAAAATAAATATACTTTCCTGTATAAATGCCATGTCAATCTACATTTATTTACTTGCAAGTATAAACTAAAAGAGTATAAAGCTGTGAAATGCACTGTTTTTAGGATCAAATTGGCTCTGTTTCAACTATAGAACTAGGCTATAGTTGCAACTTTGGCTTAGCAGTAATTCTGCCACAGCAGTAATTTTGTGTATTATATTAATGTATCTTTTAACACTTGAGAATATTTATCTTTTTCAAGAGAGATTCATTAAAGTGACTCTGCTTTTGGAAGACAAAATCAGCATGTGAAGAATCTATTTATTTATGTTCCAATACAGATCCAATCATTATGAGTATTGTTTCTAACAACATTCTTTGTGACAGGAAAAAAAATAAATTAATGCACTACTTAATATACATAATACACTGTCTATGCTCTATAATCTGGCATAGCACAAACACTAATAAAGTGTCAGGCACAACCATCTGCAGGCAATTTTCAATGATATTTATATCCTTGATAATTTGGTTTCCTGAGCTTTAAAGCATTAGTTTAGTTGAGTTCCTGTTTCAGCTGAAAAAGCTCTGATACTAGTTTGTAAAGCTTGTGATAGAAAACACATGTTGATACAACTAGGCCAGGTTTAAAATACATAGAGTTGGAAACTTTTGGTGTATGGGCAGAATCTTTTCATAAATTTTGTTTCTTGGTGGTCCTTGCTAGGATAAAGTGGGGAACTGGACTACTGATGAAAATCCTGCCTTCCTGTTTAGTCATGACAGAATTGAAATTTCACCACAGGCCAAGCCAGACACACCAATAACTGCAGAAAACAACTTACCTGGTAACACAGAGGACAGGACCACGATGGCACAGGTAGAAGGTGAATGTGTCTGGTCAGTGAAAAACCTTACTGCTGTTATTTTACCTTCTTTTTACCTCAGGTTTGTAAAATAGTTAATACAGATACCTAAGTATTTATAGGAGAAATTGCAGCACACAGACTAGCTACTTGCTGAATTATCCCTCACGAACCACAAAAAAAAAAAAAAAGAAAAAAAGAGTATTTTATTCTCAGTATTCTCTAATCTTAGCAGAACGTGTTTCAGTAGAATGTTACTCAGTTTCCTAATCTACATGGTAAACTCAGTCTTCTCCTTGCTTATTAAATGATTTTATTTTTTTTTTAAATCTCCAAACCTAAGAATGTTTTGGTATAATATTTCCATCCCAAAAAGTAATCATTTCATGGTGTTCCCTGCTCCATTCCAGTAAAACCTGTTTTCTGGCCAAAACATGAATCTCAGATACAAAACGGAAATGAAATGAAGAGAGATCACTCTCTTTCTCACTGCAGAGTGAATCAGTGATTTGTGGATAAACACATATTTTAAAGATTTACAAGTAACTCCAGCACTTCAAATACAATCAGCAGGTATTCTACTCTCCTGCGAATTAAATCAATCTTTAATTTAATAATTATTCCATTCTAATGAAGATTGACCTTTAAGAGAAAACAGGATCAAGCGATGTCATTCATTCTCTCAAAGTAATGCACACATGCTATTGCAGTCAAAAAATTCGAATAAGAAAAAATTTTTTATTACAATGGAATTGGACAAGACTAATATATATATGTTTTTGGAAATTCTAGGGCCAAGGAACACTTTCTGCAGCTCTTAGACTCCTTTTAGTACTCTGAATTCAGAAAGCAACGAATGTACTACACTACATGGGGTAGAAATGCACTTTTCAAATTCATTAGTGATAGAATACTGAGGACAGAATCTCTCTTTTGCAAAATAAAATTGTTAAAAGTAAAAGAAGCAAACAAACAAACTCCCAAACCAAAACCCAAACCACAGCACTAAACCAACATTAAGTGAGGCTGCAATCTTCCACACCACATGAACCTACTCAGGGAAGAAATAAGATCAGAATGCAGGTATCATTCCTAGTGGAAACGAATTTTTTTCTACTTAGTTACTTAGGTAGGTATTAACTTTTCAAGGATACCTCCTCAACAGAGACAAACAACAAGGCAAACCACAATCATTATTTACAAAGATCTATAATGGAGCTTTTCAGCACTAACATGTACCTGTCAGTGTTTAGATCTGGCTTTAGAAGAACAGACTTGAGATACTCTTTTTCTGCACAATCATCTGCCTTAGCCACATTTATCACTGCAACACAAATCAGAATTAATATCAGTATCAATTGTTTTTCACCTTTTAGAAGAAAGAACATGAGGAAAAGAACAAAGGAAAAATAAACATTTCTTTCTTTTTTCTAAGGAAAAGCAGTAATGTTACAATCAAATTTGAGAGGTCATGTGATCTAATGGTGTGTCACTGGCAGGTCTATGTGCACACTGTCAAAAAAGATACAAGCAGCATCTAAGCATGCCACACAGCTGTCACTTGCTGTTAATGGCAATAGCAGTCATGATTTTAAAAGCCAGTGGTCTTTATTGCTTTGTATTTGAAGTGATTTACTGCATTTTCTTCCACTGAGGAAGCTAGTGATAATGATAATGTATGGCAGAGTGCTTGTCCTTTTTGACAGCCTCAGTAATTTAATCCCCCTTTCCTGCCACAATATTTCAATAAGAGAAACCTCTAGACCAATGGACTGGAGAAAATCCACAGCCTGGGGAGTGTGTGCGAGTGCTCTGAAAGCCTCTCACTGTTTTAATTTAAAATACAAACACAAGGATCAGCTTTTAATTTTTGGACTATTAATATGACCTACAGTGAAAGTTAGCCTTGGTTTGGAAAACATATTAAAAGATTGAGAAACATGGTTTTAAGAAATTCTTCAAGAAGTTTTGGGGCATCTTACATTAAGAAAGTAGCAGATTTCTCGTACATGGCATCAATCTGCAAGTATCAATACACTATTGTGAAAGACTATAAAAATTGAAATAGTTTTGAATTAATTTTAATTTTTTTTGTAAAGAAAGGAATGTAACTGAAAAGGTTTTGATAGGACAAAACTAAAATTAATATAACCCTCTAAGAATCAAACATAGCTCTTCATTTGTTTTCATTTGTTTTTGAGGGGAGGAGGTGGAGTTAGAAATTTGTCTGTCATTACGTTCCAGCATTTCTAATATTCACTCTCTTCTAGTTACTTCTCACTGTACTCACAAGAGATCTTTTTCACTCTCCACATCACAATAAAGTTTCCTTTTCCTGTGCACTGACAGAAATCTTTAATGTATTTCACTGTCAAAAATAAACTTATTTGTATAAAAAGAAAGTACCAATTCTACCAAGGAGCTGAGTATTGGAATGCAGCAGCATGAGCAGAGATAAGAAGGCCTAAACTCCTTGCAGAGGGATTTACTGAAGGACACCTCTACTGAAGTCCTAGGAAGCACACCTTTCAGAGCTATTGCTTTTCCAGTTTTCTCCAAAGCTGCTCCTCAGCTCTTACTTGGCCAGCAGAACTGCTCCTAGGAGTGGGTTACTATCAGAAAACAGCCAGTGCAGTTGCTGAGTCATTCAGTCAAAGGAATCTGCAATTTGCCACCATTTCTCTACTAACAGAAAGCAAAGCATTGGTGTTTTACCTTTGAATCCTTAGTTTCCACCTCACAATTTCTTACTTTCCTAGGTTAAAAGAAGCTGTTATTGTCATCTGCTATTCTTTTGGACATGTGGATGACTTTCCACATGTGCTGCTCTCATGGCCAAGTGCTCCTGGGGCCACCACAGGAAGTGATGGGGAGGCAGCAGGGAGACACATGGACAGCCAGAGAACTTCAAAGGAAATGCCACATCAACAGATTCTTCCCTTTCCCATAAGCATCCCAAATGGAATTTCCTCAATTTACTAATTCTGTATCTAAAACAATTTAAAATGAAAATTATTTACAAATCCAAAGAGTTCAAATTCATTTCACTCAATGGAAAAATTCAGACTGGTTAGTAAAACATTCAGCACAAGAACTCCATTCAAGTCTGGGGAAAATTATTAACTATTGCAAAAATATATTTTTAGATCCTGGTGAATAACATGCTTTCATATCACCCCATAGTACTGCCTGAACTTAGAATCACAACATTGCTTCAAGGCATGGAACATCTCGTGTTTCTATCCAATTAATTGCAAAACTAATTCAAAATTAACTTGTGACAGTTTGCATCTAAGATTATAATTTTAAAGTTATCCTAAAGAAGTACTAAAAGGTGAAGATTACAATGACCCTGGAAGCTTGTCAGAAATCTTTGCAATTCAAAACACTAACACAGCTGTTCTGTTATAGCGTATTTTTTTCATAGTTCACATTCTAAAAAACAGCTCTGTGATGAAGCAAAGTTTCATCACAGTGAAGAGATTCATAGTGTGGACGTTTAATGGAGAAAAGGAATAAACACACAGAAATATAACGTCTTCTGATGCAAAGCCTTAACATTTGAGTTATACTGAGGAATCCACCTTTCAGAACAGGGATCCTCAGAAGTTTATTTCTAATAAAAAATACACTCCATCATCTTTCCCCCACCTCGTGTTCTTTTGGTCTACTTGCATTTCAAGTTGTTCAAAGAGCCACCTATTCACTTATGAGAGAAAAGTTTTCGAGAAAAGAAAGCTTTCCAATTAAATTTCAAATAAATTCTTTGCAGCATTTCATAAAGCTTTCTTCTACTTCTATTGCCTGTTCTCTAGAACTACTGTATACAGTGATAAGAACACACTTCAACCTTCTATCAGCCTTGCTTTCTAGTAATTTTCTTGCCATCCCAGCATTTTCACATTTGAGTCTTGTTATTTAATAAAATAAGAATGTTTTTTTATTAACAGCATTTATGAACTAACCAGAGCTTCATCATTTAATTAATCGTGGCCCTGATAAGAAAAATGTTTATTTTACGGAAACTAACAGTCAAACACCAATAGATGCATTTATATGTGTGGGAGACTGGGCTTTGTCTGCTTGGACTAACATGTTTCCTTATGGTTTTCTGACTGTGAAACTGCCACTACTTTAAAGAATATATGGTGACATGACTGGAAAACTTCTGGCACACAATTTCAAATTGAATTGAAAAGTTTAAATATCAGTTAATTGCTTTCTGTGATCAGTAACTCCACCCAACATCAACACAACGTTGTATGTACCAAAATAAATCCCACCAAAAAATCAGAATCTTTTCTTTTCACTAAATATAAAGACAGAGTCATGGTGTGAGCACAATTTGGGAAGCTGCACTTTTCTTTGAGTTTATGGGACTGTAGTGTTTGGAAGCTTTCTTGGATATTCTAATAACTCTTTCCACTGCTAACAAACACACAGCTCCTCAGTCAGTATGGTCAGCAGTAGATAAAGCACTGTCATGGGAAATCAAGGGGTATGCATTGCAATCCTACAGTGTATAAACTTCCCCAGTCAAGTTGCTGTTCCAAGACCTTGGAAGAAAGAAAATGATCTTCTAACCATTCCTAGTGAAAAAGTCACAGTAGAAAAATCCCAATTTATGCCACGTTACATGCTTGAACCACCAGTGAAAATGGAAATTCATGGGATCATGTATGTCCAGATCAATGGAGCTCCACTATATTGTTTTTCAACAAGATTTTGTTTATCTTCTGATATCTCACGTGTCAGGCGACGACAGCAAAGGACACACAAAAGGTATGGAAAACATTCCAATGTTTTTTAAGCAGTGAATCTCACAGAGCCTTCTGTATCAGTTAAGATGATTTTAAAACAGTCAAGCTTTTCCAGTTACAGATAATATAAAATGCTTTTTTATTATAAGAATTAGTGATTTTTTAGATTACTTATGGACTTACCCTGATTTTCTCCATGCAGAAATCTAAAAGACTATTAGGTTTCTTCTAGGCTCCAAGTAAATTTCTTTCTACCCATGCAAATCTCATTTTTATTAAAGACAATATTCAATTAACCTCAAATATTCAGCATACTCAAATCTAATTAGACATGAATAAGAGATGCAGCAAAGCTATAGTAAACACACATGCAGATTTCATTACTATTATCTTACTGGCTTCTCAACTGGCTTTATCAAAAAGCAGACTCATTAAGTTTTTTCTCCCCTGTACGTAAAGCTAATCTTGAGTAGAAATTAGATGACCAATCACCTAAGCAAAGCTCTGCAAATAACAACCATATCGGTACTATGCCGCAGAATACAATCCTGAAGCAATTAAGACCAAAAAACACCTTTTCATACTGATTTGTTAGGATATTTGGAAGTTTAAACAGTTCTACAATTGATACTTAAGCAACAAATAGAAAAATCAAAGTTATGAAGCCAGGTTATGACTAACAGAAATAATACAATATAGCACTAGTAGATTGGAAAGCCTTATGAATCACAGTCTCTACAATACAATAGCATGACATTATTTTCAAATATCACAGCTTGAAATGTATTGAAGTTTCATAATTGTCTTAGAAGTCTGAAATTTTATTCTCTATTCATCATAACTTTGCTGTATTTTGCTAGTTTAACTTTGCAGAGTAAATACGTAGAAAACTAATACTGTGCTTGCACCATACCTAGAAATCAGAATATTGTATTATATTGTATTATAATCAAAGCAATGAGAATTCAAGATGCAAGAGAAATCAAAAGTGTTAAAAAGCTTTTATTGGATTATGTTATTATTTCAATGAGGTTTTAATACAATTATTTCAGTTATGTCTGCCTACCTAGAACTTTTAGAAGTGTTTACAGAAGCTAGCAAGATGAATATTGTTCAGCTCATAAAAAGTTATTATTTATGTAATGTCTTATTTAGCATATGACGCCACAAATCCCATTTGTTGGAATGGGAGCAGCCTCAGCAAATGAAAGACGTTGCAGCACTATTAGTTTTTGTGGTTTTGTTTTTCTTCTCTAAAGACTTACAAAGATCACCATCCTCAGACTCATAAAAATTAACAATTGTGCCCTGTCCTCTACTGTCCCTCTCAAATGGGCAGTCCCACTACAGCAACAGTTGATGATCATTATCTAGGAGGGATTTGAGTCTTCAACTACAGGATAATCCAATAGTTTATAAGTATTAAGAGGATCTAAACGAGTGAATTCTTTGGCAAGTCACATTCTAAAATCAGGTTTGTAGATGGTACCAATTTTAAAGATCTGACTATGACACCACTTTTGCAAAGCTGCTTTTACAAAATTATTTTTAAAAGAATGTTTAAATTGAAGGTCTGTGGATTGGTTTGTCACAAATAGCAAACTGATTCACCTGCTCCAGGATACTCTCAGATAAAAGTCCAAGACAACTTGAAGCACTTAGACTAAATCTTAAATGAAACAGACTTTAACAGAAAAAAAAGTTAGCCAATAATTGAAATACCATGAAATAGCAGGGAAAATATTTAACAAGAGAATTATCAATTACTAGAATAATTCTACGTATGCTATAATATATAATTGTATATTGACATAAACTACCTTTAAATGTTCATTTATTAGAGACTAGCACGTGCAACATGCAGGATTAAGTATCATGAAGTAAATAGCAATGTATTAGTATTAAATATGGATGAATAATTTCCCATTTTAAAAAGTTCTGATTAGAGGAACACTGAGTATTCGCAAGTGGTGATCAAGTCCAATCACAAATTTTCTCTTTCCAACCATATTTTAGTTGTATATGGTTGATAAGATGTTTTTCTTTTGCTGTATCATCATGCACCAATAGAAAAATTAGTTCACGATGCTCTTTTAAAAAGAATACATATATTTATGTATAGCCTAATTTTAAAATGTATGTGCTCCCAGCATATTTAAATTTACTGTTACGTTACCATTTCTTCCACAAGGCTACTTCAGTATTCCATTTTATAGTTAACAACTGCATCCTTACCTCATTTCTTAAAAACCACCACTAATATTTCCCAAAATATTTGGAAAAAAGATGAACAGTACACAGATAAATGCAAATATAATGTGCAGGAAATAGGCTTTATTACAGGCATTTTCATAAGACAGAACTTAAGGGAAGACACACACCTGCTCAGGAGTACATCCCACTCACCAGTGCTACACTTACAGTGACTCCTCTGACCACCTGTTGGTTTGGGAAGTGACAGTGGGGTGTCGTCTGCAAGGAAATAATTTCATCTGCATTCCACACACAGCTGCTGGATTGTTTCATCTGAAGTAATTCGTAACTCAGTATGACCAAGTGATGTAATTTTAATCCAGATCTTTTCAACTTCCTATTTAAAAACTGAACACTAACATAATACAAATTATTTTGTGTTTCTTGAAGTGTTAACACAATACAAACCTACATCCCTGTAAGTCATGGGCTGCTTTGCACAATTAACACTGATTGATTGATTTTGACATAGACACAATGAGAATGTAAAGCCCCAGGATTTGCAGTTAAGAATATTGTTGCAACAGCTATTGATATAAATTCAGTGTTTAAAATATTTTTGCAATAGTCATAGTCTTAGGGAAGATTAGGTTAAAGTTATCTTTATGTACAAACGCTATCTGAACCACTAATTTTAGTTGCCATTATTTTTAGCTACACAGCAAAGTGATCCTGTAACTGTTTGAAATAGTTTCAGTGATATCAGGTACCAAAGTTTTCCAAATGAAAGAGAATTGTTGGTGCCTCTTGCAGACTATACCACGAACAGCTGAATAAAAATCCATCAAGTCACAAAATATCTAGGCATGTAAAGTAACACTGTATCTACACGGAATTCAAATTCATACACTGAACTTGCCTACTTAAATCAAACATACCTTTAAAAGTTAAAATTAGCAATAAGATAATAAAAGTAATACCCCAATTGTTCTTCACCAGAGCCTTTTCTTGTTATCTTTAACCAAACTCACATTTTTTTCTTCCTTATAAAAGTGTTTCATTGTGTTTGGCAAGGTCAGTAGTATTGTGTACAGATAAACTGTAATCAGCTTTATGTATTTAAGTGTGAATGTCAGACTCAACAGAAAGAGTCACAAGTATTTCCTTAGGTAACTGCAATTTGAAGAAAGAAAAGCCACCATGGGTTCCAAATTGGAGCATTGAAAGATGACATTCTTCAAAGAGCAAACAGAATACGTTGGAGTACAGAAATGTCAAAAATATTTTTTTTTACTTCTTTCATTTCTTTTCAAGTTCATAACTTTATTAAAAATATTTCCCCTACGTGGAAATATTTTGACAATTTTTGATTGTAAACTTAAATCACTTGAAGTACTAAATCATATTCAAAAGATTAGCTTTCGAGATTCAGTGTTTGAACTGCAAGTCAATATTCTAATTTATTATGGAGATAGCTTACATTTTTCCAAGTAAATTACATAATTAATCAAACTGAAAAGGAGGTGTATCCTATTGTAAAAATATCCATCATATAGAACAATTTCCATTGCTGTCAAGTCCTTTCAATATTTGATGAAGTAATTTTACCCCCTCTTTTCAAAAGACATTTCCTTTTATTATGTATCCTAAGACACTTTAACTAAAAACCCAAATCTGAATATTTCAATAAGGTTGTTTTATTATTCAGTAGATTCATGGAAATTTTACTAGGATGACAGAAAAAATTCCACACCATTCTGTCTCCACTAATACAGGTACATGGCTTCAGCTGGCAATATTACTGGGATTAGCATAGAATGATGAAATATTTAAAGGAATTTTTTTTTTCTAAAATCTAATAAATCAAATGACTGCCAAATGTCATTAAAGTGATGGTCTCTGACTTGAATATGCTTTTCATATTCAAATTTGAAAAGAAAGAGATGAAAGCCTGGAAAGGTTACTCAGTTTCAACTAATAACCTCAAGCACTCTACATTCACATGCATAAAAAATGAAATTGGCTCTATTGTCTAATTTTACTTCAGAAACAACTCTTTTCTTCTTGCACTGAACAGATGTATTAGCATCTGTATTTAAAGGGATATGCTGAGTGGTTTTGTTCGCCCCAAAGTATTTAGCAGCTATGTCAGACTAGTTTGTACACAGACAGTAGCTTATGAATCAAGTCCAAATACAATATCCTGTATTATAAAGTATTCCTTTTACATATTTTAAAATTTGTTTGACATATTTAACACTTGTAATTGCATACAGTAGGCAAAGAATATTACACTTTTTCAAGGCTAATGGGGTAAATCCAGGTATTCTGCTTTCTAACTTATCATGAAGCAAATAACTGAGTCATATTATTAGAAAATTGCAAGAAAAATAATAAATTAATTTGGATCTTAACAGTCAAGACTATTTTGAGTTTTATTAATGTTAAACATGAATACAGCATATAAAAAGGAGAATACAGGCTGATTAACAAAGGTATTTACAAATAAAAAATATAGAACTGCTGAAGAACAGCATAGCTAGCATGTCATATTTCACCACTAATACAAACTCACTCATACTATGTGGCTAGGCTTAAAACACGTATAGCAACAACATATGATAGGAATTAATTTTTAAACAACTATTTATTTTTCTATGATGCAGACTGAAATGTTATTTAAATCTTTTCCTAATTTTTTTTTTTTTAAGCCTTGGTCTCATTTATTAGGTACTATTCAACTGAACAATGAAGAGCTTGTCAATTACTGCCCACAAATCATTCTATTTTAATGGGAATAAAATTATTCTTTAGCTTTAGAATTTAAAACAAGATATAACACAAAATTTCCTCTAAGAGAGAGAATGGGCACATATTAAAATAAAGACTATTAAATTCTTTCAAAGAATCTGAGAAACTGGTTCAGTGCTTTCATTTCAGGTGAGGAAAACAAAACATGGGCAAGATACTTAGTCTATGTCAGAATTCTTTCTCTACCTTTTAATACCAACTCTGTAACTGGTGCTACCCAGAGATTTGGAAGAATCACTGAACTCCAACAAGCTTCAGGATTTGGGTTAAGTACTAAATGCATTGGATGTTTCGTACAAAATTTACGTCTCAACTTTTCTCATCTCTCTGAGATTAAGAAACTCTTTTATTAATTCCACAGTCAGTCTTGACTGCCACCTTCAAGAAGCTGTATGTTCCATATTTTCATTTCCTTTTTGGTCACACTAAAAGGCTATGACTTTGATGTGAAAAATAAAATTCCAGATGACTCAAATGGTACACAATAGCATCCCACAGAAATAAGTCCCTTCTGCACAGAACAGCAGAGCTGAAAAAACCTTGCTTATAGGAACAACATTCCTATTTTTTACATGCACAGTTTAAACTACTATGTGGCCCTTGAAAAACTCAAAGGGAACTTCTAAATTGTAAGACCAACTTGAATCCTATATTGAAAAATGCTCAAAAATACACTTTACATACACTTTACTCCTTAACATTTTATAAATTTATTTCCACTTGTTTTCTTCTATTTCAGGTGGAGAGCACATAAGATAAACTACAAGCTATTCTCCAATAATCACAATTATTCATCCATTTACTATCAATACTTCAATCACTATCAATATTAATTGATTGACAAATATATTTATTGAATGACAAGTCATCCTCTTCCTCTATCAAGTGCTACATTCTTGTGATCATCTTATTAACAATGTCAGAACAGAGCCACAAAGGAATGCTATCACAGGAATGTCAATGTAACTCAAGTGTTCAGAGACACAAACATTACTCATTAAGCAATTATGATTAACAGGCAACATAGAATCATATCCACATAAAAATACATATCACAAAAAATTATTCTAGTCCTGTATGCAGTGACTTTTCATGTTAGGAACAACATCTTCTATTTTTACCTTTTCCCCACAATGGTGTAGATGTGAGAACAGAAAGAGGGATGTGGAAATGCTCCCTGTTCCTTCTCCAAGTGGATGGGACTTCCTACAGTGCATCCACTTTGGACTCTCCCTAAGACCTGGGGCAAAGAGATGTGTCCTTGTTGAACAGCTCTTCTGGAGGTGAATCTGCTGTGAAAGAGGGAAAGGCACATGTCATGTTCCCCTGCACCACTGTTCTGCCACGTGCCAGGAGGAGAACACAATGGCCCAAGGTCAGCACCATAATCAGGTTTGATGCAATCCCCTCAGCTCGGTCTAGAATTAAGAATACACTGAACTAAAAAAAAATCTATTTGTGACAATGAATACAACTCTGGTTGCTGCCATTTTATCCAGTGCAGAGTCCAAATTCCTCATCTTTTGAGTGCAGTTGTAGTGGAAGAAATATATCAAATTGCACATTTTTAATATAACTGTTATTTTTATTTACAGTTTTATTATTTAATTTTTGATAATGTATCCCCCCCTCACCATTACAGTATTGTGTGGAGACCATGGAGACATTAAAAAATTAATAGAATTTGATTCTCATAATACTCAGTGTGAAAAAATTATGCTTGGTGATATAGACAACACAAATAATCAAAATTAAAATTTAGTTCCAAATGCTATCCTTTGATTTTTAAACTTCCAGTCAGAAAAATATTCCTTTCTATTTGTAAAGTCACCACAACCTACTTCCATGTCCACAGGCTCTGATAAACAGTATCTCCAGCAAGCAACTGAGGATCATTCTTATTCATAACCACAAAAAAATTACCAGTGGGGTTAAAAATTACTCTTGCTGATGCTTTTCCTGTGGGCTTATGCATTCAGCCTTAAATCTGACTTTCTACTTAATTTCATATTCTAACTAATTAGTATTATTTGTTACCTAAAAAATAATGGGTCACCTAGTGACTTAAGATTCTGTAGTTTTCAATCATTTTAAAAGTGGTTGTTTGGGTTTTTTGGTATTACTTCACCCTCTTATTCCATTTCTTCCATCATGAAGAATGACTTTCAGTACATGCTTCCAATTACAACTTCAAAGTACATTTGACAAGTTGTAAATCCATCATTTCTGCACAGTGCCTACTCAAACTTCTGTCATCTCAAACTTTATCAGTGGCAAAAGACAACTTAGGTATTGCCTGGATTCTTTAAACTTTCTCTTTTTCACTTTAGTTCCTGGACTATAGTGACCATGACACAAACAATCACCTCAATGATGGAGAATGGCAAATGGTCCTTTTTAATCTTAGATCCACTACTACTCCTTGAAAGTACTGACTATAAAGTTTTAATAAGTTATTTGTATCTTATTCTGATAAGATGGTTCTGTTTCATGAATTTTATTTCTTGTTTTATTAAATATGCTGGTGCAGCAGTTTTACTTCCCCAGTTTCTTACAGAAGAAAAGCACAAAGCAACTAGTTCTAGATAGGACTAGGAGGATACAAAGGATTAGTATTTCTGGCACAGTAGAATCAAGCCAACTCAGTAACACAAGGTAATACTAAAACCCGAAAATTTTATTTCTCTAAATTCTGATTGGATATTCACAAAACAAGCCAGTTTGAGGAAAACATTGAACACTCAAAAATATCCCTGAAGCACACTAAAGGCACTCAAGTCCTGCAGAAAATTAGTGTAAAGAGAAATCAAGTCAGCCAAAATTTAAAACTGTAATACAATGTCCAAATAATTTTCTTTTTTCCAATGAACAGAGATATTACATAGGAGGAAATGCACTAGTCAAGCAGTTGTACAAAAAAAGCATAATAAAATGTATCTATTGCTTTGCTATACATAGGTTTTATACTTTACATCTTCTCACATTTGCACAAACAGGCTTCATTCACCAGGAGAACCATGAGCAATTGGTATTGTTCTTTAATGGTGTTTAAGAGGGATTTTCATGTCAAAACTAATTAGAACTTGAGATCTTAACTTACAGGTAGAGGTAAATGACAGTTATCAAAAAACTGCTATTAGAGCAACAGAATGCACTCACAGTAGCTGCAACAAAAAAGAGAGACCTATAGAAAATAACAGAACCAGCACTGAATAAATTGGTTTTGCCAGTAATTACCTTATGGCACATTTTAAGACAACTTGGAAGCTGACAGCAGTAAATTTTATTGTGATAACTGAATGCTGTATAATCTCCTGTAAGGATACAGCGTAGACATGGGGGTTAAAGGGAGGAGGGGATGGAAGAGAAAAGACTTTTTTTAATTTTTTTTTTTTTTAAATATAAAGACCATGCCAAAGAAAATGCAAATTCCCAGTTTTGATGTCTATTTTGAGGATCTGAAACAAGGCTTTTAATCAATGTATTATACATCAAATTGATAATGTTAACTTCTGATTATTCAAATGTATGAAATATTCATAGAGAACTGTCCAAACTTTTACATTTCTCAGACTTCTTTTCTCTATTAATTATCATGCCTGGAAGCTTTTTAGTAAAAGCAGCAGCCATCAGCCTGACTGAACCTGACAAGCTAGCAAGGCCCAATTACACTGGCACTCTGTGGCACTTTGATGTACTGGAAACGAAAAGAGATAGGGGCAAATTGTATAGCACATTATGTTAATGACTTGATTTAATCCAGCCACTAAACTTTATGTAGCCTGTTAAAAAAGATGCTAACACTAATTATGCCACTTTGGAAAGGAAAGAAGGGGACAAGCATTTCATACCGACAAAGTGAAGCTCATAAATGTTGTAAATGAAATGAAACAAAATGAAGTAATCTATGATTAATCATACATCATAGACAAGAAGAAAAGAGAAAGAAGCAAGTGGTACAGCTAAGTACTGGAAAATCTGTTAGATACCCTTTATGATCAACATATCTAAGAAATAACCATGAACTGTCTAATTTGCAACATGCAAAAAACCCCCAGTATGATCTTAAATGGCTTAAACAGTTTGGCATACAATTCAGATTTATGGGATAATTAGCATAACGATCTCTAAAAATCACAAGTCTTATTTACAGTGTTTGATTACCAGCAGGATATTTATCTCAAAAGATAAAAGGCAGTGATTTTTAATCTTAAAAAAACACAAATTCAATAACAATTTTGACATGCTGTATTCTATAATTAACCCAAGAATTCAAATAAACCAAGGCATATTTTTAAAATCCAATTTGTATCAAACATGTTGTCTTAATAGTTTATAGCTTTTATTGTTTTATCTATCCTTTGTGAACATGCACTTTGTTACCAGAGGAAGAGATCAATGGAGAGAGGTAGAAACTGATGAACCTGAAATGAATCTACACACAAAAATCTCTCAGAAGTGTTCTTAAATAATTGTGATAAAATAAAATACAGCATGACTACGAAAGTATAGAACAAGTTTTTGACTTACTAGTGATGAGCAGCAGTCATTGTAAACGATTAGTTCTCAAAATTACAGGTGAAAATTTTTTATACAATGCAATTCTTTCTTCAAAAGTACCTTTTGTATCTTTCTGAAGAATATACAGGCGATAGTATTACTGAATCCCTTCTACAGCTTAGAAAAGAAGGAGCAATATTTCCCATACAAAGAGTTGCTTCTTGTTGTTAGTTGCTTTGTAAGATGTCTCACGCCTTGAAAAAAAAATTTAAAAAAATCAAACTACCTCTAGGATATCACATTGCAGAGCATTAAAAACCATGAAGACTGATAGGATCTAACAGTACACCTCTAGTCCTTTAAGAAAAGGCTAAGACATGAGAAAAGTATTAACTGTTAGAGGTACTATCATCAATTTTAAGTACTAGTTTCGTATTTTTTAAGATAGTTCAGTCAATGTTAGATCTAAAAATATGAAATACCTTCTTTTTTTTTTTTGGAAAGACTGTTCAAAGTAAATTTTCCAAATTTGTATTATGCTGTGTTATTTTGTATATATGACTTCATGCTAATTAATTACTGGTTTTAAGAGTACAGGGACATCATTGGTGTACTTGTTCACAAATAATGATAGAAAAAGAAGTACAACTGAAGTGACTGGATACTGTACATGTACAACTTTATTGAAAACTGATGTTAGATATAGCAAACCTACTATTAGAGGACATTATGCTTAAAATCTTTTTCTGTCTTGCCAAATAATTGCCATGATCACTGACTCAGCTGTTTAATATTCGTGGATCTGAACTTCAAATAATACCATCATTGCTGTCAGTTTTTATTGATTCAACAGCATCCTCATCTTGTCTACCATCTTGATCTGAAAAAGAAACATTAAAAGAATCAATGTAGTCAACCCCCCCTGTATTGTAGTTCATCTGAGACCTGCTGAGGAATCTGATAACAATATATTTGCTTTTCTAATAAATGAAGAATAAGTGCCAGAAGATTAACACTGCAAATCAATGACCTTTTGAGTCATCTAAGCTGTATTTTTTTCTGTTTTTAAAAAAAACCAAAGTGTTTCCCAGATGAAAGTTAAGGATTGGAAGGATGTAAGTCCTGTGATGAGATGAGGTATGAACAACTGTTAGTTTTACATAAGAACATGGCCTGAATTTGTGGATTTCCTCTGATTATGTTTAACACCATGCACATGTAGAGAAGAATGTATCCTTTTTTTTAATAAAAAAGTAGTTCTGTATGCAGGTGGATTGTTTTCTAGAGCATTCAAGGTTTTTTCTCTGAAGCAAATTACTTAGCACAACAGGGATTCAGCATCATGTTTTCCCAATTTTTCTAATGAATTCTTATGCAGAAGCCACAAACAAATGAACATAAAATTTTAGCATTCTGCTTGTGCATTTACTTGGTATTGTGGACTTGGTTTATTTCAATGATAAACAGTTTAAGCTCAGAGGTGGAACAGGATGACCCAGCTCTTATAATCTTTAAATAAATCTGCCTCTAACAACTTTATGTCACAAATATGATAAGACATACTACCCCTCTCACTGTCTGAAAGGATTTCTGATATCAGCATTGGCTGTTATCTGCAGACAAAAGGAGCACATTCATTAAAATAGTCTTTAGAACAGCATAGTTCTAAGGGAGAATATAAAGACATTTAAAATAGAAGCCAGGTTTCCTTTAATATTTTATGAATCTAGGTCAGATACCAGATTTTTGCATTCAATTACAATACAGTTTCCATTTGGGAAGAAAATAACACCACCATATCCACCACCCAGCTTCAGCTATAAAGTACACCAGAATATAATTTCTGTCATGAAGCTTCTCATAATGAGGCAGCTCCCACTGCTAGTAAGAAATGCTTAAGAAAATGGAAAGAGACATAGATTTATTAACAAAATACAGTTACTTATTCATAAAAATGAATTCCACCTTCTGGTTCCAATTCTTCAGTTATTTTTGTCTTGTCTCCAGAAGTAATTGATGTTTGGTCAGCTAACTGCTCCTCTGACAGATGTGAGAGCTTTTCTTTCTCCTGTTGAATTTCTTCAGTCATCTCCTCCACCTTATCTGCTAGCCTTTCTTGTTTAACCTCCTGTACCACGTGCTACACAAAAAGATAAACTTACAGTCTTTATAACATCCCTTCAATAGTAAAAGTTACTAAAGTTCAGAACTTGAAGAGTAATGGCCAACATTCATTATACACAGCCTTTAAACAATGGTATTGCTTATGCAGCACAAGAAACAATGAGAAGTTGTCAACTGCAGTAACAAATAATTGATACAGTAAAAAGAAATTCTCTAATGATGTGTATTTGTGAAAACGTAACTATTATAATCATTTGGTACCTGTCAACATATATACAGCCTCTTAGATTTCCAGATTCATTTATATTTCAGCTCTTTCAGTTCTACAAGACTCAGTTAAAAAACAAAGCAAAACAAAACCCAAATAAACCCACCCCAACAGCACATTATTCAGTTAGCAATTTCATAACTTAAATTATACAGTATTTTCTGTTTCAAAAGCAAACTAATATCATATAAAAAAGAATCAGCCTTGCTACAACAGAAGAAACATGCTATCTAAGGTAACATAACTTTAGTGCATAACTTACTCTAAAGTAATCTTATTATCTTCTTTATCTTTGAGTTCATTTACATAATCATAGTTCATCAGTGGATACACATTACAGGGTTATGTCCAGGATGGAAACTTACTGATGACTGAATTCAGTCATCTTAAACCCCATAAAAGTGAGGCCTGTTGAGCCCTCCTGGACTGCAGGAGCCATGTTTGGTCACCTCCCCCTGCCTGGGACACCTCTCAAGGCTCACAAAGGCTCAAATCTGAGATACTTGCAGGACCATCACTGAAAACGAGGCCTGGGCTGATACCACCCCCCTCCCATCTTCACATTCATCAAGGTGCAACTCTTGGTTGTTAGGAAACACAATGGGATTTATGTGATTAATTCACTGAACCCGTGGTAGATACCTTTTAGGTTGATAGGTATCTGTACACACAGAGAAATAGGTGCACACATCACTTTACCTGTGTTCACACGAACTGATTGAGGCATGAATGTTACTATGTCAAATCTATGGTTAAGTCACTGTTTATAATTGTGGTGAGCCCTACGGAATTGCTTTGTAAATGTTAAAATATTCAGCGTTTAAGTGGTGCTAAACTTTTTTGCACCCTAATCTTTGCATCCTTATCCCCCTTTGCATTCCTGGCTTCAGTGTAAATCATTCCAAATTGCTTCTAATTTGATCTTCCTTTGTCTGTTTTAACTTGTGTAGTGAGTAATAGAGTGAGCCTTGCCATCAAACTCTGTAAAGTTGTATTTTCACAAATTCATATTAAACCCTGCTTTTGCCAAAACCTTTGGCAGTGTTTCTTTAAGTAGCCAAACCACTTGTTCACAATATATGTCTAGCATATTCCAAAGTATCCCACTTCTCCATCATTTCCTCCTGCTATATAATGGTAATTTACAGAGGGAGGGCAAAATAATCTTCATCCAAACAATAAAAGCTCAAGAAGCGATTGGATAATGCTCTCAGACTCATGGTGTGACTCTTGAGGGGCACTGCATAGGGTCAGGAGCTGAGTCCCTTCCAGCTCTGGATATTCTATGATTCCGTACTGTGTGGGTGACCATGCACTGGAACAGGCTGCCCAGAGAAGCTGTGGAGTCTCCTCTCTGAAAATATTCCAGAATCCTGTGCCATGTGCTCTAGGATGAACCTGCTTGAGCAGGGAGGTTGGACCAGATGATCCCACTGTTGTCCCTTCCAACCCAAACCGTTCTGTGATTCCATGAATATTTCTGCAATAGCCTTTAGGGAACCGAAGTGACAGGAGGGTCCTGCCATTCAGTTTTCCCACGCAGCTATGCTATTTTTCATGAGGATCCACTCAAAGTCTCTATTTTTTTCCCCATTATAATACTATCAGCACTGATCAGAGCACACTTGGATCGGGGTTGGTGCTGCATTCTGGCTGCTGCTTAGTTTGCTTCCCCTAATTGTCATTGTTTTTCCCTGTACATAAAAAGTACACACTTTGAAGACCACTGAGATCCATTTTGCTTATTATCCCAAATAATAGTATGGCCTATGAAATTTTCATACTTATAATATCACTTTAAATTCAGCATTGCATAGTAAAGCTGTCAGTAACAACTGTCAATATGTCATAGCTTCATATTAATGTATCTTAAGGCATTTTTATTTATCTATACTCATTTATTTAGTATCACTTAAGGCCAGTTTTGCAAACACTTGCTGTGGTCAAATAAAATGTTTAAATATTCAATCTGGTATTAGAAGTCAGTAGAGCTACTCGGAATCTTAATGGTAAGCACATGATGAACTCAAGCCATAATCATAATAAAGATTATTCACAACAAGTTTGCCCACTTCATTCCACAAGGCTGTTCACAGAAATACACTTTTTAAAAACACACACTAGAAGAATCAACTGTAAAAATATTTAGTTTACTTCCTGTCTGTGCTCTTCTTTTGTAAACTTTATACTGGCACAGTATATCACAGTGTTGAGATAAAAAAAGAAAATATTGCAAGGTCTTAATTATTCACTGAGAAGTTGTCCTACAGCATGAGAAAAACACACATGAAATAATCTGTTCAGTAGATTACAAGAAAAATATATTATTGTAAATGCATATAGCTGTAAATAAAAATTGGTGTATACTGAAAATATTAAAAATTTCTGAATTAATAGTTAATTAAAATTAATTAAACATGGCCAAGAGCAAGAATGGGCTTCATGTAACTTTGTGTAGTACATAGAATAGTGGTTTATAATTTGAGAGAGATGGGCCTCTTTTCCATAAGAACTTCCAATGTAGAGAAGAAATACTGAATAAAGAGTAAATATTAACCCAACAGACGAAGAATAAATACAGCTGAAATGATATGAGCTTCATTCAGCATATAATCTGTACTGGGTCAATTTTTGTACTTAACGGTTAATCATAACTTTAGTGTATTGTACAAATGTACACTTAAAAGGCAGCATTGAGATCACCAGCAAGAGAAACTATTTCCCAATTTTCTGGGCAATATTCCTGAACTCCTCATCTTGACCTCACATCTTGAGAAAATAGTATTTTTTTTCAGAAATATACCTGTTTCTACTTTGATCTTGTCAAGGATTTCATTGTCTGCTAAATCAGATTTGAAAGCCATCTCTAGGTTAGCAATTTGCAGTTTCAGCTGCCGTTCCTTTGATTTCCACTGCTGTTCATGGGTCATACAGAAGACACTCCAATAAAACATATGGCATGTGAAAAACTTTCAGAAATCAGCTTCAACAGAAAATAATAAAGAAAAAAGCTTTTAGTGGCACAGAGACCACTGTCATCATGTCTTAGGAATTAAGTAAACACATGCTGGTCTGCTGCTGTTGAAACCAAGGCGCCTTTCTCAGGCTGCGGTTAAAAAACATGAAAGAGTTTGTGGGATGAGCAAAGGAACTGGCCTTAATTTAGAGCTCCAAAGTCAAAAAGTTGGCAGCATGCAACATTTGTGGGACTAGAAAAGGAATTCAGATGCATATCCCAGAGTAATCCACAACTCCAAACCTCAGCAACTGACAACTAACAAAACCATTCTTTCCACATACAAAACCTCTGAATGTAGAGAATTGGGATCATCCACCTGATTTCTTTTAAATCTGTGAAACATGCAGAGCCTAAAGTCAGTTGCCCATTCAAAGAAATGTTGACCACAAAGTGACAACAGTTTTCTCATACTGTAAAACAACAATTCTGATACTGATTAAGAAGCACATTTAAAGTAATCTTTCTCTTACTTTAAGAAATAAAAAACAGAGATAGGCAAAGAAATTAGAATAACTATTTTGCCTGTAACACATTATTTACTTGTAAACTACCAATCTATGTGCACTAAGGATTGCATGGACAAAGAATGAGAACTGCAGAAACCACAACAAAATGTGTAACTCAGATTGAAACAAAATTAAATACATTATATAATTTACAGTATAATTCCCAGAAGGCAAAAAGACAAAGCAATGCAATGAGCTTTCATATAAATTAGACAGGGAGTCTAATTTATAAATTAGACAGTGAGTCTTCAAATTATTATTGCTCTATACTTGCATTTTTATTTATTGGAAAAATGTCCATCTTAATCAAGTACAGAACAGTTTATTCACTTTTGTATTCTGTGAAAAATCAGAAATTGTATGTTTCTTTAAAAAAAACAGGAGTCAATTCCTCAACTCTTCACTTTGGTGAAGCTCATCCATTAAAAAACATTATATTTTACATATATAAATGTATTAAAAATTTTCTGACATCTATCTATTTATCAACCCTTCTCTCCTATGTAACAAGCCTCAACCACAAAAAGAGAGAGGAGAAAGAAATGTTGCAGAAGGGACAGCCCTCACAGGTTCACACTCTCTACATTCTGACTGGAAGAGTTCTGAGTACCTGTAAGAGCATCTATATCTAATATAATTGAAGAATGAAAGATTAAAGAGAAAAAATACTATAGCATGAATTGTAAACTCAAAAGTATATGGCAACGGTTTATATTCCTGATTTGTGTTCTTCATAAAAACAGTTCTATTTCTTTGTATTGTCTTTTTCTCATACTACATCTAACCTATTTACACAGGTATAGGCATAGAGCATCTTACAGTGTGACTAAGTGTTTTTACAGCACACATGCACTTAAGCAATGCTTCTAAGTCCTGCAGTAATATATGCTTCACTCTCCTTATATTTTGAAGATAATGTGCAGGGAATAGGATGCATTGAACCCACTATCATTCCACAGTACTGCACAGGAACAGAAGAGATACAGTGTGTTCTCCAATTGCCTAAAGTTTGATTGGCTCCCATAAGGGAAGCATAAATCTCATCAAAAAAGAAACCATCAGTTTTCACACTTCTGAAAATGTTTTCAAGTTTCAATGACAACATTACCTAGTTATATGTGCATTCATCAGCTTTAGGTACAATTACTTCCCATGAAGATGTAGCTATATATTTCAGTTTTTCAGAAGACCATGGTAGAAAAATCATTAAGAGTTACCATGATGGTAGTTCAGAATGCAGATGTTTAAATGAAGAACATTTTAGATGACAGGTTTTATCCGAGCCTATATAATGCTAATGTTTATGTCAGTTTGAATTGAGTCCTCTTGTGTTGCTTTCTTCCTTTGAATTTTAAGATTACTTTTACTTGAATTCATGTGGAATTTCTTTCATATTTACTGTATTTCATTGGAGTTGGAGCCATCTGTGTAACTATAATGGTCAACCACATCTGGCACCATTTCCTTTGGAGGGAGTTTAAGCATTGCTAGATTTGCATTACAAGGTCATATGAAAACAATTCCTCCAAACCTTTTATCCAAATGAATTGTTTTCTTGGATACTGACTAAATAATAAGAGTCAACTGACAAATTCATACTTGTTCTTTGCAAACTTTTCAGATCCAGTTCTGCAGGCTTGGCTTTGGCAAAATTCCCATCAACGTCAAATAAATTTCCTTAAAATAATAATGATAATGGCCAGTCTTCGCGAACGAAGATTTTGGGGAAAGGTCTTTTACCTTTCCAGCCTGCGCAATGGATTTTTTAGGTGAGACACAGCCTGCGCTGAACTGAGCCCACCCTTTAATCCTAAGGTTCATCTGCCGGGGCCAAGCAAGCTTGGACAATGGCAGTGAGGTCCTCAGGACGTAGGTTTGTGTAGAGTGACCTTCTCATAGATGGATGGCCTTACAGGGCTAACGGGCTCCATCTGCCCGGGGAACTGGCTGGATTCGAACCTGGGTCGCAGAGGTGAGAGTCCTGCATGCTAACCACTAGGCCACCAGGGGTCCCTCCTTAAAATAACATTAGCAAAGAATGGGTTTATGCCTCTTTTCCTCCATTAAAAAAAAAAAAAAGAAAAAAAATTAATTATCTGGCAACTGCAGACACTGGTCTATCCACTGCTAGCAAGGGGAAGGCTGTGGTAAAGTTGCACTGTTCAAATAGGCAACCAAAAATGCTGGCCATTAAAAGGTGGTTGTAATGAAATGATCCATTTCTCTTTCCAATTTATTGTTACAACATTGAATGATTCTCTGCTCTTGACCACAACCTCACCTCTTCGTTCCTTCTCTTTGAAATAGTTACTGATTGCAATTCGTTCTGAAGATGGAGGCATTTTAACTGCTCCTCTTTTAAGATGTACACTCAGTTCATCATCTTTGCTAATAAAACAGCATGGAAGGTCTTCAAATTGTTTAGGCTCTATAAAAAGGAAGGAAGAAAGGAATATTTAAAAAAAATAAAATAAATCACACCTAGCAGAATGTTACAACATTCTGTATATTCTAACAGTGGTCTCTCATGACTGTATTTAATATATATTCTGAATGTGGTCAGCAGGAGACACTCTTGATCCAAGTAACTGAAAGCAACTTTCTTTCCCCATGGCCAAGAGAAGGTGGCACTCTTGATGCTCTCATGAACATTAAACCCTCAGTTCAGTCATGATGAAAACAACCAAGAAATACATCTGTTCAGCAATTAAAAGATTTTGCTGTGGTTACAGTGGTTAGACATGCTGACCAAAAAACACTGCAGTAGCAAGCAAAAATGAATGCTGACCACAGTTATGCTAATCACAGAGATTGCCACAGCTCTGTTAACCCTTAATTGTAGATATATAATTGTTTCATAATCCTAATACACTCAATTCCCTACTAGCAGTATTTTAACAAGGGCCTTCTGATTTCTTTTACATTTTCATTTACTTCAATGGATTATATTAAGGCATATTTAACCAATTTTAATATTAAATTGAGGATGCTGATAGAATCTCTATTTCTAGAATATTAGTTAATGTTATAGTGCCTACATTCCACAATGCTTTAAGAAGGCCTTATTCATTAAGAATTTCAATGTAAATCACATTCAAAGTATGACTTGAAACAAAACAGTCCACAAGCCAATCTTCTGTTTAACAAAATGATTGTAAGAAAATTTGCACCAAATATATATGTGAGTATAAATAATGTTTAATGATTGTAGACAAAAGACATTTACCTTCATTTTTTCCATATAATATCCCTACAAAGTAGTTAAATGGAGCAGCTGAATGTGAATCCTGTAGATTGTTCAGGTTCACTTGCAGTCTGAATATATAAGAAACAAACAAAAATCACATGAAAAACCAATCACCAAACTGATCTTCAACCTTTCATATCTTATTTCTGAGTAAGGAAAATATTGTGGAGAATAAAATAATATTATCAATCTTGTTTCAGTGAGTTAACGATGTATATTGCTTAACAATTTTTAACACCCTTTTTGCAGTGCTCTTCTTGCTGTATCCTATATCTGTGAACTCTGTTGCAGTAACTTCAAAAAATTACAACCTTCAAAAGCATTTTTACAAGTATTTTCATATCTGTCCATATTTTTTCCTTTCTTATGAAAATCAGAATGCTTAAAGTCTGTAACACTTCCAACCGTCCAAGTGAACTCATCTTTTCATCCATCTCTGTTTCAATTTTTTTTCAAAAATTCTTTTCCATTTCAATAACTTGTGTCACTCGAACCACAATACAGGGAGAAAAACAAACAAATTAAACACCTTGGCAAAGCTGCCTTTCATAGACCATTTCATCCTCATCTCTTTCCTTCATTACCAAAAGAGCTGAAGACAAATCCAGCAATCCTATTTTCTACTGAACAATCTCATTAAAAACACTAAAAACATCCTCCTGAAAAATCTCCTTGCTTTCACTTCATTCTATTTCTTTGGTCTCTCTGCTACTCTCCTGACCATTTTGAATTAGCTTTCCTCAATAACTTTAAGGAGACCATGACTTCACCCTCATTATTTTTATATTCTTCCAAAATTCATTTTTTTCCTGGATCATCTTCTTTATCTGTCAGCACATTTTCCCATTATACCCAAACTGTTTTCTATCCTGCTGACCCTGGAGCAGGTCATGACAACAAAACTCAGGTCATGACAACAATCAGGAGGATGATTTTAGGTTAATGTTTCTAGTCCGGAATTTTCTTTCTTTGGGAAACACATCTTGATATTGCTGTCAGTTAGAAATAACTCTTTTAAAGAAAATGGATATATACCTTCTAGAAATACTGCACGAATGAATATCAACTGCTCTCCATTGCAGTTGTGAAACTACTGTAACAACAGTTCAAAGGAATTGACCCTCTATAGTATTTTACCTTGCAGTTCCACAGATTAACACATTCTATACTATAAATCATGAAATCCTGAAAACTCAGTCTGTAATTAAAGCAAATAAATACACAATTGGGATAAACTGCATACTCCTAGCAGTTTCAGGGTCCCTGGTTCCTCTAAGCTGATTGCACAATTCCTTCATTCAACTGGCTACATTAAAATTCTACAGCAACAAAACTGTCTGGTAAATGTTTGGTAGGAAGCTCAACTTCAGTATCATTAGATGGAGCAGGATTGTAGGCTCCTGTCATTCTGTGGTTTCACATTTTGGGCCAACTCAAGTTCAAATATGAACATAGACAAATTATATGGCTTTCAATTGGTAGAAACGGAAAGTAAATGATAATGAACTCAATAGACAAAAAAAATCATGATAAACATAGACAGTACTAAAACCTGCTGTGTTGATAAGTATGTTACATGCCATCTAAACTAGAAATTTTGGATTTTAGTTATTCATATTTAGTAGATGTGTTTTGAACATTCAAATGATTGGAAATCAGAAAACCACTGTAGCCATTCTCTTATAACAAAAAAGAGACAGAACACTCACTCATCGTTATTCAAAATGCACCTTTCACTGTGAATATTAGAAACAATGTCTTCAAATACCAGTTTAAATCCTGTGCATGTGTTTCCATTCAGCTGCTGCCAGGAAAGAGGCACAAGCACTTGACGTTTGTTGTAAATTACCAAAAAGTGGCACATGATTTAAAATGGAACAGTTCACTTATCGCTTTCTATTTAAGAACAGAAAAAGCCATGTGAAACCTGTCTCCCCTGGAATTTACATTTTACATAGCTCACCCTATGAAAAATTAGATTTGAGCTACTAACAGGAGATCTGCTTTGGCAGGGAGGATATAGGTATTACACCAAAGAAGGGGAAGGAGGCAAAACAAAGCAAAATGTAGAAACAGAACAATGCAGGGAAAAAAGGAACAGAACAAAAATCTATTGTAACAAGTGTTATTTAGCATGCTAAAATAATAAGCAACAGGCAGCAGTAAGAGTTCACAAGGATATTAAGTGCTTCCACCTCATAAGGCTAGGATACTTTATAAAGCTCTATTGCATTTAGGACTCCTACTTACAGGAACCCTCCCAGTTCCAAGCTATTACCAAACCACCTCTGTAAGGACAAGCACTTCTCCAAATACATATAGAAAAAAGGAGACAAGAGCTGAATAACTATACCCTTCTGAAAAAAAAAAATAAATTTTAAGACTAAAAATCATTACTCTATTTGGAGCAGCTTGAGAGAAATGTAGTATGTGGTACATTTTCATGTCCTCAGTATTGACTAGAAATCAAGGACTGGGTATATTTTCTTTTCATTTAAGCAGGCTTACATGATGAGAGCACGGGAATGTACTGACCAAGTTGCAATTATCTCTTGAAGCTCGAGAAATTTTCCTCCCATTGCTGAAAGGGCACTGCTTTTCTCACCCAGCTGTTAATGGACCTTGATCAGTTCCACATTGTCCTGAATGTTTAGCCTTCAAAATTAAAAAGAAATGCATCATGAGCTTAAAAATACAAAATTAATTATATAATAATAATAATAATATTTTTGTTTTGAAAACTTGAAATATTTTGCAAATCAGCTTTCTACAGCACATTTGGGGAGAAGATTTAGAGTGTAAGACCCAAATTAATTTATTCTATAACGCACATTACAGCATTTATGTAAATGAACATGATGACACAGCAACTTCAATCAATACATCAACATCTTTGACTATTGTATGAAACTGTACATGACAGGAAAAGAAAACAACCCTATACCTAAACAGATTATTTGTTTTCCATTCACTTTTCCACCTTCTGAAGTATTTGGTGCAGTAGCATACCATTTTATGGAGTTTCCATCAGGAGTTTAAACCTACCAAATATTGCTAAGAAAAAGTGACTTAGCAATTCATACTATAACACCTTAAGGCTGGTACTCAAACAAGCTGCAGTTTTGTCTTAACTACATGAAAATAACTTAACATTTACGTAAATATTGTTACAATCCTAAGATTACAATTCAAAGATCCGAGAATGTACTGTTTAATAGAAAGGATGCTTAAAATCATTCAAAATTTAAAGAAATATTTACTTAGATGTTTTCCCTTACTTCAAACAGTGCAACTAAACTCCATTATTTTCAGTTTCTTCAAGTATGTGAAGAGAAACTGATTCTGATCTGTATTAATATAAATTATTATAAAATCAGAATAAATCTTTAACATTTGAAAAGGTAATTTCTCTTCCAATATTTATCTCTTTTAGTCATATTGGACAAATTGTCACAATGCCACGCTGGAGCAAGACAATGGACTACAAAGCTTACACATCTGTAAACCAGCTGAGTACGTGAAATACTTTCCTTTTATTCTTTAAAATATCAAATGCTATTGTGTTTTGGCATTGCCCACTTAATTGTCCTTACTTAGAAGATAAACAAACTTACAAATTTGAGATCTTCACCAAAAAACAGGTCTAACTCAATGCTAAAACTATCATGTGTCTAAAACATGTTATCTACATAAATTAAAGTTGTGGTGAGCATAGACAGCAGCAACTGTCTCATGCTAGCTATTTAAAAGCTAATGTAGTGGCACGTTTTTATTAATCTTGTTCCACACATCAAACAAAAGGCTCTGATGCCTTCAAAGGCTTTTTTTTTTCTTTTTTCCCCCCTTCTTTTTTAAGCAGTTTTTGTTTTTTCTTCTTTTTAAGTAGAAGAAGGAGCAGATGATAGTGAAATTTATGATGTACAGATGTAAACTCCATGGCTCCTGACAGTCAACATTAACTATTTTTTCAACAGTGAATGAAACAGCATTTGATTTAGACAGGTTTGTGATATTGATATTATGGTGTAAATTATTCAAATTCAGAAGTGAAAAATTACTTTTTATTTGAATCATTTCAATTGTAAGAGTATCTCATGAAGTTTCTAGCTACAAAAAGCATGTGCAATTAATTACTTATTAGTGTATTACATCAATCACAATCTCAGCTTTCATTATATTAT